CTCTCCATATATGCATTGGATGCAGTTAGTACCCAGGTAGTTTTGATGAAAAGTAGCACTTTAAAAATAAAGGCATGCACATACATACACACAAAATACACGAAATGACTAGAAACTCCCTACGAACATTTCACATAAGAGGGAAAAAATGGAAATATTATTTATGGTTTTGATGATTACACAGGATAGATTATAAAAAGAAGAAAGTCATGATGTAACTTTAGAGATAGAAGGTAAACTATAACTGTACTGATAAATGCTGTGAAGATTAGAAACCATTTCTTTATACCTTTTGTTATATTTTTTCTTCTTTCTATTTTTCCTCTACTTTTTTCTGCTTTTTAGTTTTTCTTTTATTTCTCTCTTTATTTCTTCTTTTTCATTCTTGTTTCTATTCTTATTTAAAATATAAATATAGTTATACATATATTAGTGCATAAATATACATACAAGCAGTGATGGGATTTAGCCAGTTCGCACCACTTCGCCAGAATCGGTAGATACAAAAAAGCGTCATCCACACAGAGAACCTGTTGTTCACATATTTGAATCCCACCACTGTACACAAGCATCTCCTAAAACAGAAATATCCCTCAGGACATTTGTATATGAAATACTAAAAGCAAATGTGATTCTCCCTTTCCCTATTGATACCAATGGTGGCTTCAACAGGCCCCGCCCCCACCCTGCCCACTCCGCCCCTTCGCCCCCATCCCACCCCCTGCCCTGCCTGCCCGCAGGGCCACCCACCGCCTCCACAGCCCTGTTATGTACCACTTCATTTTATATTGCATAGAATTATGTGAAGGACAGCTTTTTGTGTATTTGGGTATGCAGGCATAGTGATTATGTAGCTTTAGGATGGAATTGGTTTCCCTTTTGTCTCCATTGTCATTTACTCTACCTGAAAAGCACCCCCATAAAGCAGCCAACAGAGAATACTTGTTATTGTCATATTATTCTCACATCTATTCATGTCTATTCTTCACATTACTGTCCATTTGCCACAATGTTTTCCTGTCTGCTGATGGCTAGGGCCACTCTGAAGTCCTAAGGCAAGGAGATGCAATTGCTAATGAGCAAATATTTTTTGTATTAAGGGCAGTTATAGAAGTCCAGAGTGGATCAGAAAAGGAAAGGAGCACCACACATTTAGAATCACAGCCGTGTTTGCTAGGGAAAATCCCAGTTGGGGCCCCCAAAAAAATTGAAAATGAAACCATTAAATGACTTACAAAAAACCCCATACTGCTCCTTTAGGACTGTTGTTTATTTAAATGTAGGTTTACCCAGTATTTCAGAATCACTCTTACCCACTATATAGTTAATTAAAGCTGGACAAAATAGGGTAGCTATCATAAAAAAATATTTTAGAAATTCTCCCATCAATTTCCTGAGTCAAAGTTAATGGGAATATTTTAAAGGTTTTCCTTTTTTTATTATTTTCAGTAATGATTTATTTTCCTTGCTTGTAATCAAATTCTCTTGTACTGCTGATAAAGTTAATCGCATGCTGCCCACATATGAATTCGTCACCAACTGGAATATTCTTACACTGCATTGTGTTTTTATTCTTATTTTTTAAACAGTTTATTTTGAACTCTGATCTCTGCCTATCCTAAATTCTGTCTGTATAAATTCAGTTCAGACTGTAACCCTATTAAAGGGGTGCTCAGAAGAAGAGGAACACTTTGACTTCTTTCTTTACTCCCAAAAGAAAAAAAAAGGCTCTTGAGCCTCCCATTCTAGTGCTTCTAATTTACAGCAATTATTCACACCAAATATAATTGCACATTATCACACCCTTGACATGAACATATGTGCTAATCAGCAGCAGAAACTTCTTCTACAAAAAAAATTATGGCTTAGGAAAAGAATCTGGCCCAATTCAACCACACAATTAATCTTCCTTTGGTGCTTCTGTTCATATCACTGTGGTACCATTCTTGATGCCGATTCTTTAACTATTGAAATAAAATCCCTAGTTATAAGCTGGTTTTTCGCCTGGCATTCATTTCTGCATCTGCATTAGGACCTAGTCAGGAGAGCACTGAGATTGGAAGTGCTGTTTCGTAGAAAGCTATCATTTTCCAGACAATTACCTAGCTTAGGCTTCGCTTGCTTTGTGCATTAGGCTTAAAGCTTAATGCAGCTTCACAAATGCTTTATTAAGTAAAACTTCCATTTTAGAAGGAGACAATGCATCCTAAGGGGAATATGAGGCATTTACTGCCCCTTGCAGAACGAAAGAATATTAAAGCAGGGTTAATTACATGGTGCCATATATGAGTTCCTTTCTCCCCAATGAGGGCACAGAAAGCATTAAACCAAAAGATCTGCATATACACACCCATCAAAAAGGAGCATGGGGCTTCAGATCCAGAAACTGGGCTCCTCAATAACATTTGTCTGATGAAATTACCCAGAAAAAGGCTGCCACAATCTCTTTGCAGTTAGAAAATGGATTAAATGTGTTTGTTTTGGTGTTCAAGGACTGATTTGTTTCTGACATATTTGGGTCAGAAAACTCTAAAAACCCTAAAAACTCTACTTGCTTCAAATCTAAACGATCCAATTTCCTAAGTGGATTTTTTTCCTATTGTATGGATCAAGTATCTACTAATTTAATATTCTAGTGTTAGCTGTTAAGATTCTTTTGGGGAGATGCACTATAATATAATTAGAATATAACTTTTCTAGTATTAGTGAATTCACTGCTGAAAGAGATTCTTGATAATCCTACTACTCTTTAATGGCAGAACTATTTCTTCTTTCAATAGGAGGAAATATATGTATGTCTGAGTTGAACTGTTGAGTTCTTGGGTTGGTCATCATCTACAACCACCTTTTCCTTTATCTAGCTAGATAATAAAACACCTACAAGAAAGCAACCAAGTTCAAAGAGTACCAAGAGCCCAACTATTTCGTAGGGTGGAGTGCTCAGCTTAGGTATTAATAAATTCATTTTGTACTTGGGGCATCGAATGGCCTAGAAGTGAAGTATTATCCATGGACTGAAGAACCGTCAGCTCCTCTGACTTTTTTCTATTTAACGTTCCTCACACACATACATCTCACACATGTAAAAAGGGATGGAGCTTCAATATCTGGCCTGCCTGCTGTTTTGATAACTTTTAATTGCCCCCTGGATACCCACGGCATGCGGGCAGGGGATGATGGGGGTTCAGGATGAGAGAACCGGGTTCAGGAATGCTAATACATTCTATTGACATTGAATGCTGTACGTATGTGCACCAGTGGTGGGATTCAAATATGTGAACAACCGGTTCTCTGTGTGGATGCCACTTCCAGAAGTCCATTCTGGACGTGGACAACAAAAAATTAGCTACCGGTTCTGCCAAAGTGGTGCGAACTGGATGAATCCCACCACTGATGTGCACCCATGCATTTTGTGAATGCAGTTTGGCAGCAATAGAGATGAGCCGGACAGATGAAGAGAGAAACCCCCGAAAGAGGGGACCAGTTTTC